CGCTTAAGAGAGAATGTTTTTACAACAAACAGGAAACAATTTGTGGCGAGATATGGACAACATCCTGAAGTGACCGATACAAGCTTGTGTTCGCAGTCAGGAAACGTAGTTTACGTGACACTACAGAGAGCGGTAGAAGACGTGGATGGAACTGGGCGAATATAACACTCGAATGACGAGGGATATGCAAATTAGTGGATCACCATTTTGAAACCCCATTTCATTCAAGAGGTTTTCTTGTTTCATTTCATTACTTACTTGCTGAGACCAGAAAGTTGTAAATTTTGCTATATTTGTATATCACAATTTTCCACTTCTTCCCAATAAATTAATAGTGAACAGGCTGTATTATTGCCTAAACGATTGAATGCTTTTAAAAATGACTGGCTTTAATAACCTTACCGAGGGACTGTGACCGACTATATGACTGGCTATAAATTCCCTAACAGGAACTATGACTGGCTAAATGAATCTACGGCTAAACTATAACATGACGAAGTACTTAGAAACTGTATGCGTTGCCACTCTTCCCTGTTTTTTTAGCGATGGGTCTTTTCAATCTGACATGTGATATTAAGTTCGTCCCCCTTGGCTAGTACGTAAAATCTGAGAGTTTGCGTGGGTGTCAATTCTGAGAAATACTGCGCCGTCTAGTAATTATTTTTAGGCTGAGTGTCAATAATTATGAGATTGACTGTTGCATCTGCCAAAATGTCTAAAAAAATGTCTTCTTCTCTTACATTCCTACGAACTATTTTAACACGAACTTATACAGAGCGTGAAAACGACCACGAACTTAGCCATTACGACTTTCTGTGCGAATTCCCACTAGAATGTCGGCACGAGCTACCGTTTAAACACATTCTGCTAATTCGGGCTGTAACAGTCACTTTGTGATGAACTGTTTCTCCTCGTGAAAATGGCAATAGATTTCCGCGCAATTTTCTTTTGCCCTCAGAGGTTTTTAAATCTTGGTGGCCTTTGACTTATAAAACTGAGTGTTTTCAACTTGTGAAATCAGCGTTCACCTTGGAGCAGTTCTCTCCGAAATGTTCACAAATTGGTGCGCTACATGAGTAAATTTTTAAATGTTCCACGAGTCTCTAACTTCGCAAGACTAATCACAAAAACAAATTCTCTCGTATATATAAAGACTTTCATGAAAACTCCCCCATATCACCGAAGGCGAGCTGCCCCTGCGACGTATCCCTAAGATTTGTTCTGGGAGTAAAGCACATGGAACGACTGGTCACTCAATTTGTCAAGTGTGCGAACGCCGCGTGTGTGTTCTTATTCACGCACGGTATGAACAGGCCTTTATGGAACGTGAAAGAATGGGAACCCAAGCGTGGTTCTCCCCTCAGGTTATCCTTTTCATTGTAATTTACAAACGGCTTTTCGATAAAATCACTTAAGTTCTCACCTATGAAAATAACTGATGCAACCTTAGAATTGCAAAGTTCAGCCCACTGGTAACAAGTAGAATTTTCTATCAAGGTGAGCTTCAAACACTTTATTATTAATTTTACTTAAAATGGCACACTCTGAACACAAAGTTATGGTTATAATAATTTGAACCTTTGCGATATTTGGATTGCACCAAAAAATTGGTGTACAATGATTCTTTTATAAAAAGAAACGCTTATCAAACTAAAAAAAAGCACACTCTGGAAAGGTTAGCAAGGCTGTCCCAAAATTTTAGAGACCAGGAAAACACTCAACTGGTTTCAGTTAAATTTTTAGACACCTTATCAAGAAAAATACTCTTACGCAGTGTCCTTATTTGAATCGTGACTTCCACCTGTGACCGAAAATAACGGAGAAGACCTTATCGTTCTTATCAAAACTTTTGATAAGAACAGTTACAGTTACTCGGCAAAACAGCATTGGACAATGTGAAATGAGTCAAAAAAGTTCAAATGAAAAGATGAGAGGCTCCGACTATTGAGAGTCAGTATTCAAGACTTTACCACTTTGCTATCTCTGTTTTCATCATACCAAGAGTCCGTTCAAGCAAATCAACAAACACAGCTTCTTGTTTCTCTGTTTTGGGCTGAGTTACAACTCCGAACAGTTGAAATAACGTTTCCAAGAGGACAACCTTCAATGCTGAGGAATTTTCTTTAGATCCAGCGTTCTCTCCCAGCCACATTTCAAATGTTGGAGATGGTGGTGGTGTGGAGAACATCTCTTCGAGAAAATCATCCACTAAATCATTATTTACTTTACCTTCATCCTGACAGGCCTGATGAAAATCAGTCTGAGAGGAATCCGAGAAGGTGAACCGACTCTTTGCAGAAACTTTTGAATACTGCACTCCTGCTGTAGGCTTAAAAGAAGGGACTTTCTTTGGTAAGGTATTTCTTTTGGTGAAGTGGCACTGGTGTGTCATTGAGCCCGCTTTTTCATCCTGTTTCTTGGCGGCAATCCTCAAAGGTACTCGTGGTGAGAACATGGCTTTGCTGGACTTCTCCTTACAACGGTTGGTGTCGTTCGGCGGGGCCGTTCCTTTAAGTTGGTTAGCTAGTCGCCCAGATGATTTTATTCCTATTATTTCGATCTCAGGACTATCATCTTGCTGTGATTTAAGACCAGTAGAGGCACCTCGAATAACTTTAGTCGGTGGAGAAGCCGATTCACCAGTAGAGACGGTGATGGCCTCGCATTTCCTTTTAGGGGCTGGTCGAGGTTGGTTCGTAACTGAAAAAATATCCGCTTTGGATGGTAACCGTTTCAACGTACAGGTTGGGATGTAGTTTCCATGCAAACTCTCATGGAGGCCAGACTGAGGGTGTTTTGGTTTTTGTACGGTTGACGAACGTTTTCTCAAATCTGGCAGGATCGGCTCCACTGAGTCAGGGACCTGAGTTGAATTTTCGGTTGCAAGTTGAAAGTAACTTGCCTCTGACAATGGCGCCTGTGTGGCCGGAGTGTTCCTACTGGGTCCATTGTTGAGTTCAACCAGTGTTGATGTTTCACTGTTTCTAACTGCCATGCAGTGAGAATCACTATGCATTCTGGAAGCTTCCTCTCGTCTACATTCCTCTTTTGCATCTTGCGAAGGATGAATGGCTTCACCATCTTCTTGGCTGTCCAGTCCTGCATCGAACACTTTCCCTAATTCATCCATGAGTACCTGTTGTTGTGCCGTCACTTTGGCTTCCATGCAAAATGGCACACGGCAGTAATAGTCTCTACAGGAATTGGAATGACTTGAGGCGAGAGACTTGATCCCCTGACAAATTGTACAGTTGTCTACCTTTTTACAGCCTTGCGCGTGCCGCAAAGTTAGTTTTAAGTTAACACAGAGAGGTAAAAGGCAGTTAGGGTCGACACAATCCAGTGCATGTGGAAGAAAATTTTGTAGTTCTTCGTGCCAAGCTTGTCCGGACATCGCCTCGTAACGGGAAGCCATTTGTATCAGCTTCTTGAAAGAGAGTCTTCTGAAGGAAAAAAATCCAGATAAGAAATACCATTATCAGTGATGATGTAAACGAGCAGAAATAGACACATTGAACATGTGATTATCAGCTGTACGATTATGCGGGGTTTTCCCATAATTAGCGTACACGGGCGTGATGCAGTAACGCATGACTACCTAAGGAAGTTTTAACTTTGTCAACAATCTGTTGTGATTAAAAGGACTTGATGATAAATTTGCTTGGCAACCATAATAATGGCAGATGTTGACTCATTTCATTTTGATTGACTGTTTTGAAAGAGAATTGAGAAAACATTGTCTCAAAATACAAAAGATAATTTTTTTTGTCTTAAAATATAGCGTCCATAAACGCCTCTCATTCCTTCATGTTATTGCCTCAGCTGACCCGTTAGTAAGACCAATGGAAGCCATCGTCAAATCATATAAAGAACAGGCTTTCGCAATTGTTAAGAAACGAAATTTGCCATCTAAATCTTACTGACGCTCGATATTGATGTCAACAATTATACGTAATACATAAAAGTCGGGGATTTGTAGAATATCTGACACTTTATAGAGATCGTTTATAAAGGGTTCTTTCCCATCCGGGTGGAAACATTTACTCAAATGTCAGAAACCGAAGGAAGAGGTTGTGTAAAAGTTAAAGACAAATCTATCCGGCTAAAATTAAAAGTGTTGCGACAGCATGGGCGGTGGAAACCACAAATTGATAATTTCTTAAGATGGTTGTCAACTGTGACATCAGATCGCTTTTGATCACGATTTTGCCTTGGGGTCATCGATAAGCTGTTTTTTACGGTTTCAACAAATTAAACACAAAGGAAAAAAATGAAAGTAGTCGAAGAAATGAAAACAAAAGATCGATGGTTCATGAAAGTATACTAGACATTGCAAATGGAATGTGCAAAATCATCGTCGGATATCAGTATTCGTAACTTTAAAGTTCCGCATACCTTCCCTAAGTGATGCTTCTACTTAACAAAGCCGAAACCTTTGAAATATATTTTCCAAAATCACGTTAGAGATATAATTTGAGAAGCTCTCGTATTATCTCTAGAGCTTCTTTTTGATCTTTCGTGAACACATCTACACATACAGTATGCCTCGATGGTAAGCGGATTGTTAAGAACCCTTTGCTATGTGTCCGAACAATCACACCACGTTCTCTGGAGGTTCTGGAAGGGAAACTGACTGTTTTACCTGTATTAAAATGAATAATTTTACGATGTATCGGTAGCGCTCAAAATTACTGCAGACCAAGTTACGATACTACTCTTTTTCTTACTGCGATACACGAACGTCTCGCTGGATTTTGCCGGAGCTTGATGAACCCTGACGCAATTGAACCGTTACATTTGAGTCGTTCGGTTGTGAAGCTTATGGTAAAGAAGTATTCATTACGTTATCGAAAACTATGGCCGATTAAGCGAAGGAAAAGTCCAACTGTCAGATCAACAATATTCGTCTAATAACTGTTTGCAGTTTATTTGAGATAGATTATACAGACTGCTCAAGTTTTGATAGTATACAAGACTGTACTGTTATGATATTGGATCTCAGTTTTCTATAGAACACCAATATCTACTGTAACATATTCATTTAACTTTTCTGTCGCGATGTTCTCAAATAGGATTTTTTCCTACTTGGAATGATTTGTTTGTTTGTTTCCCGTTTTTAATAACCTGAGCCCTAAACTCTCAGACCAACAGACTCTTGATAAAATAAACTTTATGATTTATAGTTCGTGCAAATCAACCAAGAGCTGTGCGGATAAAATTTACCTTAAGGCCGGCTGTTGCAGAGTAAACGAGTGAATTGCCAACGACTTGAAGGAAAATATTTTTTCCAGTAGTACTCCAGAAAAGCTAATTCAAACAGCAGGAGTTTTTTCTTCACTTGGACAACGGTATAACAGAATTTACGATACTCACCTTCCGTTTCTTGAATTGACAATTGAGTCCAATCGTCCCAAACGGACTGACTTGTTGCCGTGTCAATGAGCAAGTTCAAGTGAGAGTTTCTATACCGGCCTCAACTAAAGTATATTAGCGTTATTATGGCTCACTTAACAATTGCAACTTAAGAACATTCCTTAAGTTGGGCGACCACAGGTGTGTCGCCGGACGACAATAATTCTTTTTTTACTTGGGGAACACCTCGAAAAGCCAGTTTTCTAGTGGAAAAGTATCATTCGCGCGTTTGAAAGAATATCTGTAAACATTTCGTCGAGAAGAGGGGCACTTTGAGTCAAAAATCGTAAAATCCATTTGCGAAGTGTTGGTCGTGACTAGCGTGACTTTAGACACTCATTCCTTGCATAATTATAGACACGAATGAGACAAGTGTTCAAGCATTTCCGGACACACCGTTAACTTCATCAAAGCGGAAAATTTTCGATGACATGAGCGTTAACTAATAACTGATTTATGTAGACTTGCACTCGCGTGCGCTAAAAAGCGATTTTCATGATTACTTTAAGTGCATAAATACTCGTTAAGTGCAGAAATACTCGTACTTCCTGTTGTTTGCCGTTCATTTTAAAATGACGACAGTGAAGGTAAAATCTTAGCTAATATTGACTTCCATGCTCAAAATATCAGCACAGTGGACAAAAAAATCATTGTAAGTGATGTTGCGAGGTTTTTTAGATTACCGTGGTTTCACTAATAAGTCTAAGAAACATAAAATATATAAAATTAGAGTAATCCTATTCACATATGAAGTGCGAGTAAACCAAGAAAAAAAAATGAAGGCTTAAATGATACTAGAGCTAAAACAGTATTCAAACATCTCCTCTGTAACCTGCGATTGTGCTTCTCTCTACTTAAAAAGGGATAAAAATTATACCCGACAGCTTGTCGGACCACATCTAAAAAAAAATATAACTTTAAATTTCAGAAGATAATGAGAATGGTTTGTGACTTTGGATCTTCTGCGAGTATTCGACCATTCTAGTCTATTTTCCTGACATAATGATTGACAATAGAATCGTCTGAAATAAGGACAAAGGACGCTGTATAAACCACAATCATCTCAAATCGATGCACGTTACGGATCGGTAGATACTGTGACAAAGGGTCCACGATTATGACACAGCTTTGCCTTTCGTTCGTCATGCAATTTCCCCGTGACAAGTAGAAAGGAAGTAATTCCCTAAACTTCCTCTGTGCGTGAAGCTGACGAAAATAAATCGCGGCCCTTGATCCGACAAAGTTTGATGGCAACATGGACGATGTGAAACAGTGGTTACGCATAAGCACATACTTTCCGAATGCTCTTTGTAACACCATCCTATCATACTAAAGCAGACCTTGACGTGGGAGAGGAAGCATTCGCCGAGCCTCGTGAAAAATGATCCGTAGGATTGGCTCCGTAGGATTGGCTCCATAGGGTTCTTTCAAACGTTCTTGTAAACTTTTATATAACGAATTACCATCGTGCCGCGACTATCGACCAATTGTTTTCACAGAAGAATGTTGTGTATCCGCGAAGCGGCGGAGCCGACGCCAAATTACTATGTTTTGCAGTAGCATTTATGAGAAGAGGTAAGCTTTAGTAAAAGTTTTAATTTTTACATTTGGAACTGAGAGGTGCCCTCAAACTTATCGCTACGGAGAGTTCTGATGCAGTTTCTAGGCATACAAAGGGGGAACACATTTCTTCCTTCGAGGAATGTTTGCTACAATTGTGTCGCCGTCGCAACTGCTTACTAAAGAGAAGGGAACGCAAGCAGCACTGAGCATGCTTCACCAAACGATTTGCGTTTCGTTGCCTATGAGGAAATTATCAATTGCGTCGACGACTAAGTTACACATTTTCCTCTTCGGCCCTCACGTCGTGTATTACGGTATAGGTCCGGATTGAGGAAGAGACGAGATGCATCTAATTGGAGGATAAAAACAAGACTGACAAATGTCAATGCTAAAGTATGAATATTTCAGTCGGGCCGTCACGCATGGGACGTAAGCATAAAATTACCACTGAAATACGGTTGATTTTCTTTTCCTCAAATTTAAGCAACAGAAAAGAAGATGGGAATGATGTCAAAAATCTTGGGAAGAAAAATTGATGGTGGTAAACATTGAAATTGTCGCTATTCTGGGAAAAGGTGCTGAATAGGAAGCGACTCTGAACTGAGTTCCCTGAATCTAAAAGCTTACATGACGAATGAGAGCGCCTCCACGAAGCCGGTTGGTTGACGCAGAAAATACAAGAATGTCTCTGAAAGCGGATGAGATGGTAACATCTTTTTTTTTTTTTTTCTTCACATAGACTTATCAGGAAATAAAGACTATATTTAAAAATAATATAAAATATTAGAAAACAAATGGACAGTTCGCAAAAGGAAAAACTTCAAAAATTTCTTCAAATTATATGTAAAGGGAACGTTTCAATTTAACTGTAGAGAAGCGTTTATGAACTTTACTTTATGAACCTATGGCTCCTTGATATGCAAATTCAGCAGCAGTTGTTTTCATACCTGCACAGAGAGAAATGTCCTAAGGTCTAAAACTGACATATAGATACCTTTTCCTGTTAATTCAATCTTTTCTTTGGTTGTGACAATAGGAATAAAATCGTCGCTAGGCAAATGCTTGAAGGTAATAATGGCTCAGCGGGTGCGCCAGATGGAAAAACGTGGTTCTTTCTTCGATTCCCGCATCAACAAAACAAAGTTCAAAGTTCAAGGTGCTCTGGAGAAAAAGAAATAAACGTCGAGCAAGTCCTTGACGTACTTAAGGTAGGAAACTCGTGATCCTAAAGGTAACTGAAATGCTTACTGAAACGGTTTACCAGCGCAATGTTACGCTACCATTTCAGTCGCATTTTCTTTTGTCTAACTTATCGTTTAAATAGGAGTTGAGTTCTCGATCTTTGTATTTCGCGCAACATCATGGCGTTATATATTCCAAATTATTATAATTTTCAGCGATTTTTATCGTTTTGTGTCGTGAAACTTTTGTAAGGGCTGCATCCATGTTCGTTGGCCAGCATTGGTTTGGTCTCATCAAGCAACCCGCTCTCTCCCTCCCCTCCCCTGTCAACAAAACCAAACAACGGCTGCGAAGGAGACTTGAGGTTTCCCGTTTGCATAAAATGAATAACTTTTGAGTCAGCACTTTTTACGAATGTTTCTTTTGCCTATTTATAATGATAAAAATCCTTTTTTCATTACGGCTCGCTCTTGCGGAAGCTTAAAAACGCCCTAGGCACATTTCACAAACCTTTTAAGTGAAACTAACTTAACAAGAAGAGCAAGCAAAAGGCAAAACCCACAGTGATGGAGCCGATTCACAGCTGGAGATCAAATGGAGCTATCCTTATGTCTTCCGTTTCCGTTTAGGTCATGGTGTTATCACGAGTTTCTAGCATTGCGAATGGTTTAAAAATAGTGGCCCTATCTCATCAGTTTTCTACTTGAGACCCAGATAAAATGAGAACCTTGGTTTAGTCTCTGCACAAGGAAGAAATGATAGCCCCTCACCTTGGATCGTGTTTTTGAATAATTCGCAGGACATCTAAAATGTTTAAGGTAAGGATAATTGTAGTTCAAAAGTTGATTACTAATTCACCTGCAATGTTTTTACTTGTAACTAACTTATCAAGTGGAAAATTACAAAAGCAAGTAATAACCATTGAAACAATACATAGGTAGAGAGAGAGGCAACATCTGAAGCAAAGAGTTATTTAGGAGTGAAAGAAACTAAAGCATTTAGGAGATGCCGAGATGTATAAACCTCAGTTGTTTTTCTGCAGTCTGTTACCGTGCAATATGTCATCGTGATAATACATCTTAGAAAAAGTCCAACTTTACAGAGAATTCATTAGAACAGATGATTGTAAGAAAAACCTAAGGAAAGCTAGCTACCATCTTTGTTAATACCTCAACAAGGGGACTTTACGACTATCCATGTTTTTGTTAATGTACATGTTGTGTACCAGAGAGGTGCATCAAAACAAACTAAGAGTTTTTTTGATAGACGTTTTGGCTACAAACATATAATGTTAATTAATGGTCAACGATTTTAGTGCATTCACAGGAAATCAACATGTGTTACCGTCAATCACTGATTCAGAATTTAATCAACAATTTTTTTCAAGTAATCCTTCAGATCTTCGAAATAAAAAAAAATTCACAGTTTTCACTTAACGTTAGTCAAGTGATTACACTGACCTAGCTAACACATCGTTAAACGTAGGGTAAACTGTAAACTGCGGTCTGCAGACAGACTTATTTGGTGTCCTTGAAACAAATAGTCTTCTGCCTAATGCGATAGGCTACTTAGATCACCTTAAATACCTTTATCTCAGCATAAAGAGTAGCTAAAATGTAAAAGATCAGTTACGTGTCCGCCAGGAGGAAATTTTGTTTTCAACGCTTGATGGAAAATCGAACATTTATTGCCTCCTCAGGTGTACACGGCCAATCGAAACAAATTTAACAAGTTCAGTAGCGATATTCTGCTTAGTTCCACTTTTTTTTTAACTTCAGAGGGATTTAATTTTTTAGTTTTTCCGCGTCCCTAAGCATGTCCAAACGCAAATGTAGATGCAAGGATTTCCACTTGTGAGCTACCTCAACGCCAATGCAAATGCAAGCGCGAGCGTCAACGCAAGGAATGAAGACATTTTCATTTTCTTGAACCTGCATCTTCCATCTATGGTCGGCCATCTTGGAAAAATACTTCAGCTGCGATTGCGTACCTCACTTTCCCCGCGTTTGCGTGACACACGTGATCTTGCTTGCATTTGCATTTGCATTTCCGTTGGCATTTGCATCGAACGCGTGAACTAGGTTTTAGTTTCATTCCCGTAGGGAGTCCTTTACTTATAGTCATGGAACGCTCAGGCAACTCGCTTTAGACCTCACACGCGCAACGGTTTTCAAAATGCCCGCCACAAAACAAAATTACATACGGCTTACTCATAAAGCAAAACTTTTCAGGGGAATGTATCCTCATACAGGAGCCTATAACAGAAAAGAGGTATATAGGAGGGGGAGTGGTAGGGGGGCTTACGTTTGGAAATGCAGAGAATATACCAGAATAGCGCCAAGAATGGATAAAATTCGCCAGCGCACGATTTTCTAGTCATTTTCCGTGACCTTCCTGATTCGGAAGAGGTCTCCTCGCATCATGAGGGAATTCAAACGTGGCTACAAGGACACTGTTCTCCAGTTTAATAATCGCAGTTCTTCTGTGGTAGGTACAGCTATAGTTGTGAAATAATCTTAGGATCAGTTTTCATGCGTCTCTAATACAGTAGTTCTCTTTGGCCGAATGCTAAGAGAAATTGAACCTTGTTCCATATATATACCTGGTCGATGGGAGTACAAACAAGATTAAAATCGTCTGAAATGTGCGTGTCGCAAAATTATCTGTTCATTCGATCACAAAGGTTTTCTTTGACTCTCTGTTAACAGGCTTACTATCAAAGCTAACAGACATTATAACGGTTTGATACAATTCAAAGCTTTTTGTATCTGCTATTATTTTTAAAATCTGTTATCTAACTACTAGGGCTACCATAAGCGTCATGCAACTTCTTCGTCAGTCTTTATTCATAGGGGTAAACCGGAACTTCCCTGTGCCAAACTGAAAACAACATATTACATATCGTATTTTATCGTATTTTAATTTGAATGCTTTCGATAAACGATTTGGGGTCTTCCAGGTTGGTTTTCAGCCTAGTTAACATGGTATCTTTACGCAAAAAGGTAACATTAGTTTGTCATTGTGGCTGTCACTTGTGATTAGCACTTGCACGGTATACAAACTCAAAATTTCGCTTTCGCGCCGGCAGTATCATTCTCGACCGCCTTTCGGCCAGACGTTTGAACCAACCACCTATAAAATAATCTGTCGAGTTAAAAGCAAACCAGTGAGAAGTTTTACTTATCTTGCAATGAAACATTCGATAAAAGTGGAATTTGGAATGAATTACACAAACTATAAGAAAAAATTCTCGGCGAAATCAAAGGTTATTCAGTAATTTAAAACAAATAATTCACTCAGTTTGAGATCCACCCTTCAATACGCCCGCTTTTGAAACTCATACTTTCGCCGAACTTTCTGCTTTTTCATTTACTTTTTTCAATAGGAAGCGGAGGAGTTGTTTACTGGCGTAACCGGCATCGAGTACTTTCTCTTGACAAAATAACCATGAACCCATCATCGGTTAACCTGAGCTAGAGGCAATAAGAATGTGTAGATACAAACAAATTGAGAAGGACCGAAAACCGTCTTCCTTAATGGATGCGCGAAGAATATATTAGAGCTAAATTTAAGTTTCCATTTCCGAAAGATCATACACGCAAGAAACAATCGAATAAAAGCATCTTTTTCAACAGAAACTGGGCCTGGGTCATAAATCCAGTTTAATTTTCTTGTGCCTACTTCGAGATGTAATTCACACAATCTTTTAAAGTTAATCGTCTAATTCCCATTTGTTACAACGAATCTTCAAATAGACTAAATCCACCAGTAGAGGCCCCTTTGGAAGAACATCGCTCGGAACTAGTCAGAGAGCATCAAAAGTTTGTTCACTTCAATAATAAGCACAGATGACGTTTTGTATCCTTAGATTTTAACGATACCCTACTTCAAGGTCCTGAGAGAATTAAAAATTGCCTTTTCATTATACAGAGTTCGGACTGAATCCTTACCACTTTCTCCCGATATTAAGACATCATAATTTCTGTCAATCGAAGCTGTGATAGTGTTTATGCCCGTATCGCTTAATGACATTTTGTAGTCTTTTTTCGGTGCTTCTCAGTTCGCCGTGGAAGCAATGTTTATATTGTTGCAGTATCATAAATTAGCTACATTTATGTATTTTGTGATGTTCAGAAATAGCTTCAACTAGACAGAAGAAAGACAGTAAGTTAAGACAGAGCAAGCATGGCAAAGGACGTGGACGAATACAGAATGTAATAACGAGTTGGAGGTTAGGTTGTTCGGTTGTTAGGTTTCCTATTTTGATCAAGGTGCTAAAACTATAAATATTGTGTTGGTGTCTTAGCTATCACTGTCAAAGGTCAGCAAACAAACATATCAAAACAAAAAGATTAAGGCATGCGTAAAACATGCTATGTAGACATTCAATGCACTAATGCGTGCTGAGTGACTAGTTTTAACCAGTGATTGATATATTGTTTCAGGTAATATTTTTAAACTTGATAACAACAGTATTGGTTAAAAAATGACGTCACAATATTTTGAGTCAATTTGCACGACGTGCTATTTAAACTGTCTTCAATTATTATATGGTTACAAAATTACCCATTTTTTGCTTAAAAAAAAAGAAAAACGAAAGAGAGCTGAGGAGATTAAACCAAGAAGTAACAAAAATGGTGGAGAGTGAGAAAGATTTCACGAATTGCAAATGACTAATTTAAAGATTTATCGTCGGATGCATGTACCGTGACCATGGTTCGTTTACGCTGGCCTGATAGTTTTTATTCTGAGAAGAAGCTGACCTCACGAACGCAAAACTCAGCATTTTGCTTTCAAAAACAAGCGACAAAGTTGATGTGCATGTCCGTTTGACAGTCAGACTCTAGGCGGCGCATGTGCGACGACAAAATGTGCTCCCTCGGCATTTTCTTAGTATCAATCATCAGAACATACCAGTTCCCTGCCTTTTAATGCTAGAATAAAGATGATACAAGCAAAAAAAGTTCTAAACGAATCAAGCAATGTTGTGTACGTCTCTTGAAACATAATTTTACGAAAATATACAGTAATCTTGACTTATACAGTGAAATTGAAACACTTTCTCTAAGATTGCGAGTAACTTGCCATTAGGGACTTAAAAGAGAATTTTCATTAACTTTTCATTACCTATTAAAGTGACTAAACCTTTGTTTACTTTTTGAAACGATCCGAAGGTTGGCTGGATCATTGATCTGCAACAAACATTGCGTGCACTAGTTTCAGTTAATGCATGAGTGGAACGTTTCAGTTCTTCTTTGAATACGCTGTCTATAAATAAACAAATACTTAGTCATGTCTGCATTCACAATATCAGTCACTGGATGTAAATATTTCACATAGCAATTTGCTCAAATAGACTGACGGAAAATGTCTTGTCACCCATGCAGCCAGTATTGTAAGGTAGGAAAAGCCATGCGATAATCTAGGCCTATGTATTTAGTAAGTTTTATGTGATATAGAATTAAATGACAAATGTAAGACAGCTCAAAATCACTTCAGGATGGAATTAGATATATAGGTACATATATGGAAAGAATTTTACCCGCGTCAGCTTTATGAGAAGAAATGTTGATGTTATTGTTGGTCGGTTATATTACAAGTTATGTTGATTGCGTCAAATTTGTTTCAGTAAAAACCGCATGATTGTTTATCGCGGTACTGAGTTTTTTGTCAGTTTTACGTTCTTGTTAAAATTTGTGAAGGATTGATAAATGGAGTACGCCATGACAAATACTAACACATAAACTTCAAGTTATAAGGTAATTATGATTCAAAGGTATTTTTCATCCTTACGAAAAATGCGAAGACTTAATAAGAATGTAACAAGACCTACCCTATAAGTACGATTTCTGGGATAATGCAAATTAAGTTAAGTCGAGTCTGCGATAACATGGAAATTGATCTACAGGCTTGTTTAGGTTGTCATCTTTAGGCCCTCGTTAATCAACGTATCCAGACAAACACCTTCCCGATTTGATAGAGTTCTTTCTGCCGGTTCTCCTCTTAATTTCATCGTTTTAACCGATGCAGATAAGATCTGTGCAATCTGTGTAAATAATTCTGGAGCGTGGCACTCTAAACCGGAAATTGAACGTAACGAAGTTTACACGTGAACAGCGGACTGCGTGGTAAATCAGACACAAAAATAACAGGCAGGAAACGGAAATTCTGATCCCAAGAGTTGTCGTTTGTGGTTGATTTTTTTTTTTGCTGTTACAATGGTTTAACAGACCCCAGAGACATCCATCAAAAAAAAAAAAAACAATGGGTACTTACTGCTTGGTGGGCGTCCGCGACAACTCCCGCCATTATGGGCACGCCGTCTAGGAGATTCTTCAGCCACGAACTAAAAATGCCAAGAAGAAAAATGTAATCCTTTACTCATTTTGATGTATTTGATATGAATTGACTAGTCATTTCCAGTCAGCCTTTAATTGCCTTTGGTCCATTCCCTTTCCTGAATTCTTCTAGATTATACGATTCAATTCGGCTTGCCACTGTTCCATTTTATTTCACATTGAAAGCTACTCGCATTAGTAGCGGCATAGTCTTCCCATGCTATATGTAATTTTCGTTAGATGTCACAATTTTATGATAGGCATGCCTTTGCCCACGATTTCAAACAGAACAATCAAGTTCCAAAACAAAGAAAACAAAAAGCAATCTGAAATAAAAGAAAGCACATGGAGAAGAAAGAAAGAAAGAACATCGTCAGCGAATTCTCCAAGAAGCCCTTGGTACAATACCCCGAGAAAACGCATTGTCATAAGCAATAAGGCTTCATGTGTCTGGCATTGCATCATTGAGGAATAATCCTAAATTAGAACCCAGATGATAATTGGTAATTTTAGTAACAATAAGTAACGGAAGACTGAGGCGTTTGTCCGATTTAAACCCTAAATTAAAGCCAACACTCTTCTAGAACCTTGCAACAACCTCGCCGATCAAAACAACAGCTTGTTTTCTTTAACTTATGAATTTTCCGGTTAAGCTCTCCTTCCCTAGCGAGATAAAATTCAAAGAATTTGTAATGATTGATGTCGAACAATTTGTTTTTATCTTCATTTTAATCGCAACAAGGTGCTTATTTGGAAGTTAAAAGCGACCTGCACACAAAAGCAAGGTCCTCTACCGTCACAATCGGTTGGTTCAAAGATCAACATGCGCACAACGAGTTGTTTTTTACCGTCTTTGTACTTTTGACGTTACAGTTTGACACGGCTCTGTGAACAAGTTGAAAAACTAAAGTGACGTTAGATTATTCAAATTTTGTTAGTGTTCTTTCACACCCAGCTCTCATAATGTATTGTCCATAAAGGTCATAAAAAGAACATTGTCATTTCCCTGGCATTTCAATCAAACATATTTTAAATACATTATGTACTTCTATATAAATGAACATTTCCGAACTTTAGAATGATTTCGATTAAAGTTAGGGAATGTTTGAATATCGTAAAGTTCAAGTATATGAGGAATCGACATTAACAAATCACACAGATTATACCTACAAGAAGGAAAGTCTCTAAACAAAATGAAGGTTAGAGTATCTTTATTATTTTCAGTTATATAAAATTTTGAATAACAACTGCACTCTAAAAAGTTACTTCTTAACATAAGGATTTGGGTGAATTGAAAAATAAATTACTGTAAATCGCATTTTCAAAACTTAAATTGGATCAAAAGGGCTTTCAACCATGCATCAAAATTGCTGTAAATTCAAGTATAGCGTTTCTATTTATTATAACAGAACAAATTAAATAAGTTTTCCATTATTAAATTAAGGCGCTTCGTACATGTTACTCCTCTGTAAGTATGAAGGTTTCCACTACAAATCAGTGTTAAATGCATCAAAATATTTTATATATATATATAAATTTTGATTCGATTTGGTGCCACTGAGCGGTAACGGACATTACCGATAGTGGCCTAAAATGTTTCGCCATACAAGAAAAGACGAAAAAAAGGTAGTGAAATTTAAAAATCGTCACTATCCAGTGATTCTTACTTAGCACATACAGATGAAGAGTACTCTAACATTTCTTTGCAGGTATTCTATAGCTATTAATAAAATTACTGTCGGTGAATGAGTCACAAATGTCATGACCACAACATTAAATTAGATTCAGTTATATGAACCAAGCTGACCGCAAATTGCATCATGTCGTGTTCACACTAATATTGACCACTAGACTTGGAGTGTCCTCGAACGGTACAATTTGTCCTGCGTCAAGATTGAGTGTATTAACTAAAATAACTTACCAACAATCTATCTTAAGCTCATCACAATTCTTTTCAATACTTTTTTGAGTTACTAAATCAATAACTATTGAAATAAGGAAGATTCGATGGCTGGCTAATACTCTGAAATGTGACGAAAACATAATACAGCAGTCTTTAATTTTTTAGTCAGATTTTTGTTTCAGCATCTAACTACTTCCTTAGGATATTACATACACAAATTGTCTGGTGGAAGGCATAAGCATAATTCAGTTTGATTCTCGTTAGGATCTGAAAATACCTCAGAGTGCCAAATAAATATTCAACAATTTCACTTACTAGAAGGCTCCATTTTTCGTCACCCAACTTTTTTGTTAGTCACCCTTTTTTTCCTTTCCTCGTTTTTTTCCCTTTTCTTCCTTTTCCGCATTGAAAATAAACCTCTTGTAATCCTGATAGGCTTTACTAGAAGACTCTCATTTCCGTGTCTGTGTTTTTCGTCCTAGAATTCCCTGTTTTTTTTTCAGTAAAACCGGCCGACTGAGAATTGACCAACCATTAATTAATTCAAGATTAAGAAAGGGGACTGGCGAGTCAGCTCTCTATTTAGAGTTAATGGGAGCAGACTCTCAGTGTTCAAAAATATTTATAAACCACTTAGGACCGAAAAACACGTTTCAGCATGATTCCGTCGAACCAAACTGGCTACTTAAAGCGACAAAGTCATCCGTTAGTCAAAAATTTGTCAACAGAACTAAATATTGCAAAACTCACCGCTACAATTTATGTTAGTAGAAAACAATAAAAACACTATTAAAACATAATTAATATTACGTCTATCAAACTCAAGAAACGTTTGTAAATCTCACCAGTTGTTGAACTTATTGGTTAGAATGAAGTGGTTTCCATAACTACTTGGACAAGTTAGACCCTTCTGTTCGTTAACGCAAGACTACTAACACTGCATAATATTTTGATATGATAGTCCTTCATGCCCATCTTTGTAGTTCGATTTGCTGAGACAATCTTAATACTTAACATAGCGACGTTACGTCAGAGAAAGTCATGCTTCACTCAACGTTAGTCTTCCATATAGACAGCAAAAATAGTTGTTGGAACTTACGAACGAGTGAGGATTTAACTTCGTGGTATTCGAATAATCAAACCAGAATCAACCGGAAAGCGCGCTCACCATGGATACTCAAGTGCAACAAAGTTTGCGGCTGTCTATGTATTTGATGAGTTTATTTTAATTAATTGTAATCATTGTCCGCGATTCAATGGCATAACCAAAAGTGAGACTAAAATGATAATAGGACTCGCTCTAATGGAGAGAACCTCAAATTACGACAATTTCAGGAGAAGAATCTTCATTTCGAAATCGGACTTGACTCAATTTCCACACAATGGTGTTATTACGCCGAACATTGTACTGTTCACTTTAAAGTTCATGAATAAACAAACCTCCTCCGAGACCGGATTTCCTCTAGTGTCTCAAAAATACATCCGGCCTTGTGGGCGTCTGTTTATTCAAAGGGTTTTACTTAAATTAAATTTTTCCTTGCTGTTAAAAAGGTAATGCGGTGTTGATATGTTGTATCGGCAACTTCATACGCTTGGCATGTTTGTGGTTTTTTGTTTGTTATACTAAACAACTTCCTTTTTTAAATGCCGAGGTTTTGTTTGCCTCTGATCGCTGCTGGAATTTGTGAACACTAGCTATATTGTAATTATCATTTCTTGTATTTTTCAGCTTATTTGTCTACTGATTATTTATCTGTCCACAATGACGTCATTTGTAAACTCGTTACCATGCCAAAAAAGGACCAACATACAAGCGCCACGAGTATTACGTCTTCTTGAGGAAAAATACATTTTCGTGAAGAAAAAGACAAGAAGTGAAATTCCACTTCTTACAACCACTCCATTTCCACGACGAAGAACTACTCGAGTTGCAGACGCTTCAAACATACCGGGAACTACTTATTGTCCGTGGGTCTGGGAACAGGACGATGATCCCGAACGTGTCCCGCGGATATTAGTAAAAGCTAAGTGTCCTGGATGTAAACATTTTTGTAAACCTGTACACTACCACCACACGGTTCTAATAGCAAAATGCGACAAAACTACAGGTCACAAAGTATGGAAGTGGAGGGAGAGAAAACTTGCCGTGGCATATGTTTATGAACCTTACGATTGACGGGAATTCCTTGTGGCTGTGTGGATCGTCCTTCTTCCTAAACTTTTAGATTGTTGTAATTTCATATGAAAAATATATTTTTATGGGATATTCATTATTTATTTTGAGAAAACCTCGAAAAAGGCTGAAGCTAAACCAAAGTGCAAACTCATTCCACAAAAACAAAGAAAAAAATAATTTGAGATGTTGTGTCAACATCTCTCCAGGAGGGACATGCTGTATTTTTAACCACTGAGCCTCTTCCGTACCTTCTCTTTCTCAACAAATGTTTTAAATACAATTTTATTATTTATGTTGAACAATCAAAATTAACCTGAATTTAGACAGAGCGGTGTATTTTCCAGATACATTTTAGGTTGTAGCAGAATACTTATTCATTGTAACTCAAACGAAATTATTAAGCCTTAGGTCCTTAGGTTTCTGCATGCAGTAAATGTCTGAGCTTGTTTTACTTCACTGAGTTTTCGACAATTTGATCGTCCGATTTAGAAAGTGTCCTATGGAAGCTTATGTTGCACATGTAATTGTGACCTTCGCACTCGCACAGCACGCATAACTATGCAATTAGCATAAGCACGAGCACCGCGCTTTGTAGAAATTATAATAATTCCGTAATGAATAAAGGTTTTCAGTTTTAACATGGAACTGAGCAAGTAACACTTACAGAGTTAAACAGATAAATTATGAGCAATTTCGTTCGCAAAACTGCCTTTACTTATGGTGATGGTGGCCCAAAACATTTATTTCAGGTCATCATTGCTCTCACTCTTTTCTTATCACTTCCTTAAAAATGGCTTTAAAATATCTAATTATTACTCAAAAAGTTCTGGTGATTTTTTGACAGAGAGGGTAACCATAGAAACACCACAGCTTATTACGAGCACCCCTAATGAACTAAAGTAGCACAAACAACACTATTTGTAGGTTAGAGTTTATTTACTTTACTATTTACGGAGTCATGAAACGGAGCCTACACTCCCAAACAAAGCTTTATAAAGCTGTCCCCTCACAGAGAGAGCTTAGGCACCCTGTGAGTTATGCAAATCCGAGACGCAGTTAAGGGTTTGCATAACTGTTGAGAATTCTCCCAACCTCCCGAGTGTTTAGATGAGAGTATGAAAACAGGGAAAAAAGTTTCCAATTGCTTTAATAAAATACTTTTCTCTAATAAAATGACAAATGAAGGAAAATGTTTTTCATTTACTTGATTGATAGAGATTTCCTCGATTCATACTCTGGGCGCAAGTCATGACACGCATCTACCGGCACATAAACCAATCAAGATTCACGTTATAAAAATCAAAGTCGCTGAAATCTGTGGCAAGCGCTAGCATCGTGTGAATGAACAATTACAGCTTTTCG